CAGTCAGCAAGAGGCTTCAAAAGATGGATTTCCATTCGAGTTCGAATGCGTGTTCGAGAACGTTGAGCGCAGCGCTGGGGACACTGAGCCAAGTCGAAGGAATAGACCACAACCCGATCGGATCAAGCGGAAAGGCTGAACTCCTAACTGTTCGGAATTTGTTTTGAAAACACACAAATAGGCACCAAATAGATGATGAAACATATGTTTTTGTCCGATCTAATATGGTGGGTCGACGTATTTCATTGGCTACTTTCAACCCTGGTGGCCGAAGTGGATTCTTGCGTCGCGTCGCAAGCAGGGGTTTTCACACGAGTTTTCTTCATTTTCCCCACGGGACCCGGGACAAGGCGGTGGGACTCACCGTTGTAGATCGTCCTACGGGAAGACCGTTGGGATGGGAGTGCACAGAACCCGTGCCCAGGGTTCCCGCAGTCGGTCGTTCTCGTGCACTTTCCTACTTGCATTCTCGTACACATGCCGACGTTCAGGAGTACGGCCTCCCTTCGTATGAGGTTGTGTTGACGACCAGTCATTCGGCCACAGTCCCAATATAAATGCTTGTGTCCAACGTCCACGGTGGGACGAAGAAACGTGTCGTGTCGTGGGTGGTGTCCAACACCCCGTCCACAAGCAATGTCAAACAGTACTGAGCTCTACGAGCTGATCTTTCCATTTTCACTTCTGCCATGGACTACACGCTTCAGGTCGAGAAGCCGACGCTCCCTTGCATCGTGCTTGACGAGCTCTTTGTGCAGCCTGCGCCTGCGACCCTCAGTTTTGCGTGCAATGTACCAAACCGAGCGTTGCTCTACGCCAAGAAGACACTCTCGGACCCTGCGTCCGGCGCGACGCTGGCGACGCTGAGTCGCGGCAGTAGCGTCTACTCTTGCTTACCCGAGACGTTTGTCGTCACGAGTCCGTTTCTGCTAACGCCGGCAACCATCGTCAATTCAACGGGCTGGCTCACGACGACGATTTCGCTGCGCTGGCGCCTCGATGACGTTGGCACCAAGCTCTTTATCGACGGCAAGTTTTACTCTTCGAAAGCCACCGTGACGCTCGTAACATCGGATGGCGAGACGCTGGTCGTCGCAACGACCGACGCCAACCAGGTCGTGACGGTCGTGCCCGGCGTCGATACGGCGGCGGTGCTCTTGCTCTGTCGCACGTGGTCGCACTCGCAGACCGACTTGAAGGTGCTCTTGCTGACGCTGCTGCTTCCTCTGTGTATGAGTCTTGTTGCGTGTGTGCTTGGCGACTCGTCGCTATGGATTGCAGCGTCGGTCCTGTGGCTGCTCTATCTCGTCTTTTCGCTCGTATGGACACGCCGCTTTCGAGGTTAGAAAATCGCTAAATCGTTCAGTCAAATCAAAATGAAATGACTTGGGTCTTGCATGACCATACCGTCGCAGCCGATACATCGCCGTACTTCACTCTACGACGCCTCCGGACGAGCATCTCGTTCATGACACGACTCGCTTTGCGATGGCCGATCCGGAAGATGATGTGTTTACTTCATAGTCGCTGAGGCGTTTGGCATCGTTGACGCCCCAACATCCTCAGGACGCTCCACATGACACCACAGCGTACTTGGTCGTGGCACACGTAGTCGACTGAGCGACTTGATCCATGAGCCCGTCACCATAGCTTTGCAGCGGGAAGAGATCTTATCCGTGGTGAAGCGGACGGCTTCGTCGCCAGCTCAATGTAAATCGATTGCCCGCCACGCACCCGACACTCTGCCCTACATCGCCGAGCGTACGAGCGAAATGCAGCTCAGGCTGTATCTTCCAGCACCGACGACAGCGTATCCGTGCATCACTGATCTTATAGTAGGTCAACGTGTTGGTCGGCCAACCTCATGAGCTCGCAGTGAACTTCGCGCCACTGACGGCGAGGGGCAGTGCAAGGTGATGCTCAACGAGGTCGGCCACGATATCAAGGGGTTGCCCTCGGCTAGAAGACGTTGCAACAACAAGGTCGTGGATCTCTAGGAATGAGGTATACTAGCTGGTGGAATAAAAGGACAAAGCGGCGGCTTAGTCCATGGACTTGCCCTGAGCTTCGAGCTCCGACTCGATCTGCGAGCAAAAGTACTCGACGTCGTTGTAGATATCCTTGATGCTGCGGCCCGGCACGACCAACTTTTCCTTCTTGTCGTTGACTACACGATTCATGAGCTATTGCGAGCTGACAAAGCCACGTACTGAAGAGGAGTTCGATCGTCGGCTCCGACTTGGTGTGCAGCGTCGGCGTGTAGATGAGCTCGCACTTGGGGTTGAGCGCCTTGGTCTTGCTCGCGCTCAGCTGGCGGTGGAACTCGCTACAGAGGTGCGCTTTGAGCTATGCGGCATGCATGGACCGAACGCACCAGGCGCCCGACGCGCGGGTGTCGAAGGACGAGAACGACACGTCGGCCTTCTTGAGGAAGCGGATGATGTTGCGCGCAGCCATCGTCGTCGGTGAGCAAATGAGATGACCTCTTTGCACTTCCAACCAAAATGGCCCAGCCCCAGCGATGCCATTGGCTGAAATGCGAGATATGCCCATCGTTTCTGCCAATCCAATTCAATGTCATCCGGACTGTGGGCCGTATCCGGTCAAGCGCAAAACGCCACAGTACAAGCAGCGCTTGGCGGCTGAAAACACCGCCAACCTGACAGCCTGCGATGCAAAGGATCCCCTTCCAATGTCTTCAAGTGCCATGGGCCTCAGCAGGCCCAAAGGGCGGGTCGTGTCCCGGGCGAGACTGAGCAGCGATTTCATTGGTCTAAAGGCAAGTATTCTTTAGAATGGACCAATCAGAGTGCGGCTTTGAACCACCGTATCCGGACAAGGATTCCAGGAACGCAAAATTCGATGCGTGTGGTGGAAAGAATCGGCGCCCGGGTCGGTCCGCGCGAAGGCGAGAGCAAGCGGGCCGCTGCGCCCGCGCCTGTGGTCATCGAGCGCGAGAAGACGTGCCCATGCCTCATCCGCGTCTTCTGCAACACAGCCCACAACCGGTACGGCCAGCGCCATCATGCGCATGGACTCATGCAGCAACGCGACGTAGGCCGGAAGCGTACAATGCCATGCACGAGACGCCTCTTCCTAACGAGCTGCACATCTACACGTGGATTGACGCAACGCTGGGTGAAGTCGCCGGCCTCGTGCGCGATGCGAGCGAAGAGGCGCGGAAGCACGCGCGCCTTGCCTTTTCGATTGTGCTGCCCGACCGCCGCGGCAAGTACATGCTCAAGAAGGCCGGCGTCGTGACCACCCGCAAGGCGTCGCCGGACGAGGACAAGACGCTGGCAAGCTATGGCTTCCAGAACGGCGACTTTCTCGACGTTGCGCTCTTCAATTAACTATTCCAACGCGCACTCTTCTCGTACGACGATGCACAGTGATCCAATGTGACGACGTTCCATGGACATGGTCTATGCAGCACATGCTGTTATATTTGTCGCGTCTACTGTGTGCTATCGAGGCCTGCAATCTCCGCGACAACGTCCGACTCGATCGTTGGGTGACTTGCCGTCAGCTTTGCGTCGTGAATACGTTCGCGCGACAGCCTCAGGAGCGTATCTTTCACCGTGCGGCTAGACCCTACCGCAGTGGTATCGCATCATCGGCCATGGCGTTGTGAGCGCGTACCGCAGACCACGACCGTGCGAAACTTGGCGTCCTGGTGTTGCGCCTCCGTTAAAAAGGTCAGGCACGCGTGCACTTGCGTCGCGTCGTCGCGGCCGCAGCGCACGACGGCCAAGTGTGTGATCGCATTGTAGTAGAGCACTACAGGTGAGTGTCAACTCGCCCAAACCTTTGTACACATCAACTTTACGCCACCTTGCAGCGCCGCCTGCATCGTGCCGACGCCAAAGTCGCCGTAGTTGCTCGCAATGGCGGCGAGCACGAGCGAGTAGATGTCGCGCGCTGTGAGCGCCGGGCCCTTCTTGCTGCGGCCAAAGCTCACTTCGACGACAAAGTACCGGTTCTTGAAGCGCACCATGGCTCGCTGCTTTGCCGCCGCCACCAAAGAAACCCACGTCCGGATAAAGTCGGGGTATGCGGATGCAGGACGTCCTTGCGCGTCTCGTCGCGGAGCTCGAGGATGGATGTCAATCAAAGGGTTTGTAATTCGGATCCAATAGAACCGAGCGTCATTTTGCTTCTCCCTGCCGATGGTCCTCTGCGGAAGACGCTCGGTCAACGCATGTGTCGACACGTAGAAGCTGTAGAAGCCAACAAGAGCTGGGTGGACACAGTATTGCTGGCTACGATCTTAGGAGACCGTCTGACTGTCGTGGGGTTGATGCGAGCGACTCGTTTCTCTGTGAAGTGGCGAGACGTTACTCGTTCCGAAGCGATCGGAAGGTGCGTCAGCTGCTCGTGGACGCCAAGACCAATCCTCCGAGCCTCTGCAAGTCTCAACCGAGGGGAAGAGAGCACGGGGCGAGTGCCTGTGAAACTTGATGTCATTTTCCCCAACTGTCCAAGATCTGCGATTGCGGCAGATTCGAGGTTGATCAGAGGTGTTCTATAGGATGGACGCTCGCGATGAATCTCGCAGATTCCTTGGTGCCCGCGCCATCGCCACGACGCGGGTGGCAGCCGGGCGAATCTGTCGGAAGCGACCACAACCTCTCAGAACGTATACCGAATCTCCCATGCCAGATTCCCATGTGGCCCGTTTCAGGCGTTTTTATGCTTGCGGTTGTCCCTATACTTGATATTTGTATGTGGGAGGAATAAAAATACAGACGCCGTCGCCCGGCGCGGACAGCCGAATCTGGCACAAGTCCAACTGTGGCCACCCTGCTAAACTCAATTTTAATACATTCAATACAAAGCGTGGGTGAGAATATTCCATCCAGTCTTTCAAGCAGAACCACATTGCGCGAGCGACGGTGCTTCGTCCATCTCTCGGCTACGACGACCCGCAGCCCCATTGCCTCTTAGCTAGTCGCCGCCTCCGCCGCTTCCAGGTACGCCGCTGTAACAAGTTGGCGCCATCGCGTTGTGCGACACGCGCCGATCTTGCACTCGAGATGCTCATTGGTCATCCGCCGTCAATGTAGGAATCTCAATCGCCCATCGACTTCTGGACCGTGACTGTTGTTCTTCATGCTCATGGCAGCCACGAATTCCTCCTCTTTGGCCAGCGCGCCACCCAACATGAAGCTGCTGGAGCTCGCGGCCATGAAGGCGCATGGCGCGGCCACCGCGCCCAAGGACCTGCGGTCCACCACCATTAGCGAAAGCGCCGATTCGGGCGTGTCCGACTCGACGCCGGCGCCGGCCGCGACCACCGCCGCCGGTCGCAAGTACGAGCGCCGCACCAAGCGCTTCATTTGGCCCGACGAGCTCCACCGTCTCTTTGTCGCGGCGGTCTTTGATGTCGGCCTCAAGAACGCGTCGCCGAAAGCACTGCTCACGCTCATGGGCAACCCCGCGTGCTCGAACGGCCTCACGACCGAGCACCTCAAGTCGCACTTGCAAAAGTACCGCCTCAACTACGACCGGTCGCGAGTCGAGTTTCTCAAGTTCTATGACGAGAGCGTCTCGGAGGCGACCAAGCAGCACAAGCGCAAGGGCAAGCCCGTGGTACATCCCCTATCTTGGACGTTGGACGCTCATGGGGCGTGTGTAGCAGCAAGGCGCGGTCTCGTCGCTCTTTCCCATTTGCCCGACCTCCAAGAAGCGCAAGACGACCGACGACGCCATGGAGGACCCGTCGAGCGACGACGAAGACGACGAGAAGGTCGCCAAGGTCGTCGCCACGACCCAAAACATCACGCGCCAGCTCGACGTACAGGCGAAGACGCTGCACATGCAAGCGCAGTTTCAAGAGGAGATCCAGCAGCAGCTGTACGAGCAGGCACTGCTCCAACGGCAACTCCAGGAGCGGCTCTCCCAAGTCACGATGGCCAAGGGCATCACCGAGAGCGCACTGAACGCCGCGCGGTCGGCGGCAGCGCTCTCGTCCGTGCTGCCCACGTCGTCGGGTCCGGGGCTCTCGAACGGCCACAGCAGTACTGGCGCCAAGCAGCCGCCGCCCGTCGTCTCGAACGGCCACCGGGCACAGACCAACCAGTTCCAGCACCACCTCACGGCCTTGAGCCAGCTTGGGCCGTCGGCCACGAGCGATCCCAGCAGCGGAAGCGGCTCGGATCCGAATCCCAACATGCAGTGGAACCTGGGCCTGCTGCAGCCGACAAGTGCACCGTACCCTGTGTCGCCGACCGCACGCATGTCGCTCGAGCAGCAGAACGCGTCGCACTTGCAGATGCAAATGGCCATGCAGCAGCAAATGTACTTGCACCGGCAGATGCTACTGCGCAAGGTCGAAGTCTCGCAGCAGCAGCAACAACATCAGCAGCAGCAGCAACACCAACAGCAGCAGCAGCAGCAGATTATACCAGCGCACCATGACAACAACAGCCACAACACCAACACCACCACCAACAACAGCAACGCGGCGTCGACGTCGAGCTGGAACGCGAATGCAAGTGCTGCTCCGGCGTCCCGCCCGACGATCCTCGACCATGCGCCAACCGAGTGGCATCAAGACGACCCGAGTGCGCACAAGGTGCCGTCGCCGTCCATGCACCTCGGCGACGAGAGCAAGCCGGCGACGCCGTCGGCCGATGTCATGGACCTCTACGGCTGGGACAAGCTCAACTTGGACGTCGACATGAACGACGATCTCTTCAGCTTCCTCAAGTAGTCGTCAACGAAGAAGTGGAACGTGTGGATGTTGGCCAATATGTAATAATCAAGAGTGATCGTGGTCGAAGCGAAAGCAATAAGACATGAGAGTTCTTGCACCTGCAACGGTATGCACTGCAGGTCGACAGCAAGGTGCTTGACCATTCGTTGGACCCCAGGCAGTGCCCCAGCATGCTTGCATGAGCCAGGATCGTCGCGGTGCCAAGCAACCGATGCGTTGGTCGACCATACGCCGTGCATACAGGCGGTGGCCCACGAGGGAGATGCAAGTATGTTCTTGCACGAGGCGAGAACCACGGCAGAGTGCAAGATGATGGGCTTCTTCTTCTTCTGCATGTTGAGGCGATTACATAAGGGCGGCTACGGCTAGCCTTGCTTGGCGTCTTCGGGCGCGCCCCGCACATAGAGCACGTTGTTGCAGCGGATGAGCACTTCGCCGAGGTGGCCCGTCTTGGCGCCTCCGACAAACTCGTCCGTGTTGGCGAGCTGGAGGTTCATGTACGAGTCGACCGAGACCAGGTCGCCCTGGTACTCCATGCCCCACTTGAGCTTGACGACGACGGCCTTGCCCGTGAGGCCAGCGAGGAAGGGCTTCGGGTTGAGGATCAGGCCAGACTACGAGGCCATCATCGCCATGAGGTTACCTCGTCGCCAAGCTGTACGCACCATCGATCGATACGCGGGCGGCTGGAAACAATGCGAGCTCCGTCCAATTCGAGCCCTCGATAGTACAACACATAGGTTCTTATAACGAGAGGTTAGAAGATCGCGATTTGTTTTTGGCTCAGAACCAAGCCCAGTTGTCTTGGCGCTGGCGCACAGTTGGGCGCTTGGCCAAGTATTCTGTCGCGTGACGTAGCGCACCGCTGTAGCTCGTAGGTCCGTAGTCGACTGCGCCATGCACCGACTACAGTGAAGTAGGCACAGCCCGCTTATCCTTGATCCCGAACATCGCTTTTCGGTCGTGGTCAGTAACTCTACAGTCCACGGAGCACGCTGCCTCCGCCGTGTGCCGCCTCACGTCTCTTCCTCTTTGCGATAGCAACGAAAGCGGGTCTGCTGTCAGGTGCTCCCAGTCT